CCTGCGTCCGCTGCACCCACGCGGCGCTGGTGTGGCGTGGCGTCGCGTCGCATCGGCCGCTTTGCCCCGCGCCGCATCGCTGCGTGGCGGAACAATGGACGATCGCGGGGAGAGAGCGCGCGCGGGCTCTCGCGGTGGCGGCAGCGGTTGGTTCAGTTCAGTGCCCTCGCGGGCAGCCCTCCACGTGCCAGCCTTGACCCCCCCTGCGCTCCCGGGAGCACGGGCACGAGCATCGCCCCCGCCGCCGCTCGCGCGCGCGCGCGCGAAGCAAAGGCATTCTGCGGACGTCGCGGCGCAGATACCGATTCTCGAGATACGAACACCGTGGGCAGCGGACTGGAATTACCCACAGCTTCTTCGCCATTCGTAATCATCCATCGGCCATCATAGATCAAGCTGTTGCGAAGAGAACTGGCGATCTGATGTTAACAGGGGGTGTCGTACAATATTTTTCAGTACCCGAACGTTAGACTTGATATTATAGCAGTCCCTGCAAAACGATTGCCCTCAAGTAGTGTCAGATCGACGGTTCAGCAGCGGTGTACTTTTGAATATCAATTTACGAAATAGAATAACGAAACGTGTATTTCATAGCGCAGAGGATGAACGTCAACACGCAGCGCGCAGCGCTACGTCAGCGCGCAGAGGATGAACCTATCACAAGTCAGTTACAAAGATATTGGATTGGAAATAAAATGTTTACGAAATATAGGGCGCAGGAGTGACTTGTTTCCGTGAGGTAGGAGATTGAATTGCAATCCAAGAGCACCGAAACGAAATCCTTGCTTGGTCACAGGGCGGTCGCGCCACGGGCGGGAAACGCAACGTAGCGTCAACAGTGCTACCAACGTCAACACCTGAAAAGGTTTTGAGTATCATCTATTCAGCTTACAGTTCGCTAATTGCTAATAAAATCAGACGTCGTTGTGACGCTTTCTTACTTTTATACAATTGCGACCAGTGATGCACATTGGCACCAGTGCAGTGTTACATGAACATTGACAAATTGACGACTATCGGAGTCCACTTTAAGAGACGTTCACTTACGTGAATATTCATGTTTGTAACTCATTTTACTCACTTGCATCAAAGGCATGAGCTGAATATACAACATAAAGGTCTTTTTGCTTGTGAGTCTACTTGTCCTCCCTATGCTCCGTGCCCTGCGGAGGCCAAAGGATCGATCTCTCTCCTGTCGACCTTCCCTGATTCTATTCTTAATGTTTTTTATTGTGACGCAATTGCTAAAAGTTAAGAGGATTGGTGTAGTATATTGTCAATTTTGATTTGTTATTCTACAAACTAAGGTGGTAGGACCTTGAAATAATAGAAACACTGTATTGCGTTGTAGGAGGAAAGTAGGCGCAAGCAAGCAGCAGAGCGGACAGATTGCTGACGCTGCATTTCTGCTCTTACATTCAGGTTGGCCACCCGTTTCCTGGGGAAGTTACCCGAATATTCCTGTGTTTTTTTGTTGTTGTTTTGTTTTTTGTTGTTTTTGTTTTTAAGTAGATTTTTCAATCTTTTCATTAATAAGATTTATAACACTATTTAAAGAAAATTTAAAAACCAGATATTTGTTATTCAGCTCTCACATTTCGCCACGAGAAAGTACCAATTGACAATATTTTCTCAACAATTAAACAATGACCACAAATGTACTAATTAATAATCAATTGTTCTTAGGAATATGTAATTTTATAAGCCCCTGATTTTTTTCTGACTTCTAAAAATTCTTAGAACTTTCCCCTGATCTTCTCCCGTTATTTTTTCAGAGCGGTTACCCTTATATTGCTTTCAGTTTATCCGAAGCAATGCAACATCAATAATAATTTAAGACGTATGATTTACAAAAAAAATGTCATGATTGAGAAAATACTCTATGCCAAGTAGAAATACGTGTCAAACGTTTAGGATTCTTCCGGGCAGTGTCAAAATATCTGACTATTCTCTGATTTTTGTTGGCCACCCTGGAATCAGTTTCTACAATATATTAGTTCAATATCTCAAGAAGCTACAAACCGGTACGAACTAACAAACAGATGGAACCCATCCAAAAATCTATACTGGGCCCTGTTTCTCAACACTTTATTTTATATTACTAAAAACTTCACACGAACGGACTAACAATCGTATCAATTGTGCAGGTGACACGCACTGTTGATTGTGTAGTAATCTCATATGAGATCATCGCTAGTCAAATCATGTGATTCATGCGTGCGTCAAATGAGCATAGACTAGTCGTGATAGTTGGTTCTGAATTGTAATCATCGGGCAACAGCTTTCGATTTAAGATCTTTAATATAAAGAGAATTATATCTTACGAACCGCATTATGTACTCCGTAGAGGAAAGTCATTCCTCTGTGGCTAGCAGACTCAATGAGCGATCTATTTGAAATACAACTCAATAACAATATCTTTGGCTGCAGTGTGAATCCTTCTCCCGTACACGCGGTTCGTTTCATGAAATTTGGTTCACTGGTTTTCACAATGATCTGGACATGCGTTTCTCGAAAACGAAATACGCGTTCGTGCGAGAGACCGCAGGGGGGGGGGGGCGCCTGCCGCCCCCCGCGCGCCAAGACGAACCTCGCTGACGCCTCGGTCACAGCAACTCGGTTATTCCTCGATGGTGGGGGTGGTCACTCATTTCCTGTAACAAATTTCCCCGACTTTTCCCAATTTTCCAGTGCATTGATTAATTTTTTTACTGATACGATTTTCAATAATAATTGTATTTCACACCACTTAAAGGAAATAGCTGGAAACTAATTTCTCAGCTCTTTGATTTTGCCATCATAAAATTTGTTTAAAAAATCAACGAATAGAAATTGAGCAAAAAATAATACTTAACTACTTTTTAGGAATAATATCTAGTTTTATAAGCATCTCAAAATGTTCTCTGGCTTTTAAAGATTTTCCCACAAATATCCTGATTTTTCCTGACTTTTCCACAACAACGGAAAATTCCTGACGTTCCCCGCTTTTTCAGAAATTGGTCACTGTGGCTGAGGACACTAATTAATCGAAATTGTTATTGTACACGTAAAACATTAAAATAAAATGTAGTACCTACGAAGTAAATGATGCTCCCAAGAACAAACTTTTCTTTCTGAAATGCAAAATTGTTATAGTTCAGTTACAACTGATCACTATCGGAAAAATATCTAATTAACTAAGAGCATGTATAATCTGAGACGGCTGCTCTACATAATATACTTTCAATATTCTAGACCGAATAATTGTGCAATAAATAAAATATTCTGCCACTTCAATTAACTATTAAATTTCTAAAATTTTGTGTAATTAGACACTCATAAACAAATGCATACGTATTTTTTCAAGTTCACCCACAAGTGAATATTTTGTCCAATTATATCCTATTTTGAATTTTCAAGTTGGATCGTAAACCATATTTTGAAATAATCCTTATTTAAAACCCATAAATATAACTGAATTAGGAATTTTGAACTTCCAAGAATGGAGGTGTGTGGTTCAAAAGATGGCAACTCCCCCCCCCCTTCTCCCGAGATCCTAATCATGAGCAGCACCAGAGCCCACGACCGAGGTCATGCGTTTTCGAGGGTCATTGACACCATGCGAAGCGAAAGAACAAAAATGAATGCTTCAAGTCATTTATCTCGCATGACAACTCCACATTGACGCAATTTCTGGCATTAAAAAAAGTTGTTGTTTTTTTTGTACACCACATATATGGAAATGCAGAACTTTCAGGAGACTGAGATGAAACGAAGGCTACTCAATATCAATTTTCAAACATGTTTTTCAGAGTATTTCAATGACACAAATGTTATGCCTCATACAAAATCATACATTTTTTCGCAGTTGCTGTTTTTTAGTTTATTGATCTTGTGGTATCTATATTTCCAGTTGTCCACGCTGATTTCCACTGCTCCAAGCCTATTCCCTAAATAATTCGGAAATTTGAAGAGTTCGTTTTCTTAAGAGAATATGTTTCCATTACATGTAGAATATAATTACGAATTCGTAAGGTAAGAAATGAAAATAATAAATTAATAATTATGTTATTCAAAATGTTATTTAGGGACGTTTTTTTATTAAAGTTTACTTAAATGTTTTCACAAGTTACACGTGCAAAATTCGGTTTAGAATCACTGAGAATGGAAAAAAGCACGGCACTAGGTGCAGATCATTTTGCTAATGTGAATCTGGTATTTATTTTGAAGGCTTTATTACGAGAGATTACACTACCTAGTACGGGTGAGATAAACATAACCTGACCTAATTACAAGAGTTTGAGCGCATTCTGTTTCACGCAAATATCTCGTAAAGGGAGTCGACGTAAACCCGGACGTAGTGATAAAACGGCTTTACGACCAGCCCGCTAGTAGTTCTCCATTACTGCGGCAGATGGCAGTGCGTTCTCATCACACGTAGTTTACAATTCCTCCACTGTACATACGCGGCGCCACTGTCTAACCCATTCAGTCGTTTTCAGACCAGTGAAAAAAATCAATTTTCAAAAATCTATTTTGGAGTATCTTTAACTCTCTAGGAATATCAAACATAACGACGTGCGTATACTAGTGTTAGGAAACAAGAAATATTACATTATTTCAAGGAAGTTTGATCAAAGATAATTTTAAAGATTACAAAAAAGTACCTCATTACATTTTAGTAGCAAAAAAACATCTCTTCAGCTGTCCAGTTCGATCCTGTTTACCGCTGTTCCTCTGTCTTATCACAAGGAGACTCAATATGAGCATCTGGAAAGTAATTGATAATTCCATTATATATAAAAATAAAATTAGGAACATCAAACGAAACATTTTATAATCAAATAATCAATCTCCACAACTCCAACAAAAAAACAACAACAACGCAAAATTGTCAGATCGGCCAGCGAAAGTGTGAGTACACTACCACGGCATCGGGGGGTCGGGGGGACGCGAAAGGTTCCAAAGCGGCCGTGCCACGCGCCGGTTGGGTTCACGGGCGACGAGCAAGTAGGGCGCACCTTCCTCCGCGGGGGCGGCGCGGGAGCTGGCGCCGCTTCCAAGTGGGCCTCCGCTACCCCGCCCAGCCCGCCCTGGCCGCCCCCGCCCCGCCCGCCCACGTGGCGCCCGCGTCGATAGGACGCGCGCAAGACGCGCCGCTTTTGGTTGCGAACGTCCCCCACGCCCGTCACAAACACTCGCCGAAAATGCAAGCGAAACAAAGGAACCAACCACCACACCAATTGCCGACTTTTTATTCAGGTGGTGGGGACACGATTTTGAAACAGTCCCTCAAACGTTAGAATATTTTAGAATCACACAAAAATAACACCCTTCTATATGAAGCACAAACTTAAACAAAGAAGAATGACTTAGAAATCTGTGGAAAGAAAGCATGGCATGCTTTGAAGAATATTAGCGAACGGCATAAAAACAAGAGGGAATATTGCATCCAGAAGCTAAACCTTATTCCAGAAGTTTTAGTGTCGAGGCGTGCTTACCTTTGACTGCAATAAAGAGGTTCGTGTGCCTTTTGCCGCCTCCGTCTCCCGCCTGCGCAAGGCCTGCTCTGGCGCGCGCGTCCGACTCGCGTCGCGCCCGGGGCCGGGGGCTCGCCCGCCGCCTGCCTGCCGCGCCGCGCGCCGCGCCGTCCGCTCGCCGCACACGCGGTACCGCTTTGCCTAGAGTACGCGCGGTCTCAGGTATGGCCCGCCGCCGCCCGTCGCTCGCGCTCCACCCCCGCGCCAGCGCCGGCAGCCGCGCGGCGGCGGGCGGGCACAGGGGCAGGCGGCAGCGCGCCGCGGCGGCGGTAATCGACGCCCGCGCCCGGCGGGTCGCGCTTCGCTCCCCGGCGCCCCCACACCCCCACTCACCCCCACAGTCCGCCACGCCAATTAGCACGCACTCGTGCACGCGTTCCCACACCACCTCCGCACACTTCTCCTTTCAACTATCCTCTAATTAAAGACATTTTCTTCTTCTTTTTTGTATAGATATCGTCAATTAAGCATCATATTATGTAGTTGCACGTAAGCATTAAACAAATACTCACTCATGCACTCGTTCCCACACCACCTCCACAGCAAAAACGTAGTTTTCCTTTCCACAATTTTCTAATTAAACAGAACAATATTATTCTTTTATCTTTATAGATTTCGCACTGTAGGTAATGTATGTATGTATTTGCACGTAAGCACTTAACAATTACACTGTAGATTTAAAGTTTTATTCTCTATTTTGGCTAGATTTTAGCTAAACAACACAAAAACGGGTACAGATTTGTCTGCAGATTTGCTGACCTCTGTAGTGCTACATAACGTGGGCTAGTATGTAGGGTACAACTTAATTTAGTCCGGAAAACAAATTAAAAAATACTCAGAATAAAATAATTAGTTACAAATGAATTTGTAGCTTTGCGGTCTGCAAATCAAGCAGCAGACCAAATATAACATATGTGGCTTTA